TCCAGTTGTTAAGTGATGAACACCTCAGTGGGAGTCTTGGCTGCACTCAGACAGAGCAAGGAGGCTTTTATTTTGCGTCATGGTGATGACAACAAAACCAGCTTAGACATCATTGACATTTGCCCCGAGGCTGTTGATATGGTTCTTGTGCACCTGCGCTCAGTGTTTCCAGTAATGGCAAGAGAGGATGAAGCGAGGTTATTGCTCCAGGAAACCCGCAGCATCATCAGACCGGCATTATGACGCTCACTGAATTCATACATCAAGCCCAGTCTGACAACACAGGAGACCAGGGAATGAATGAAAGAGTGGCAAATATATCAGTAACCATTGGCCCAATTCGACAGTGATGGGAAGAGTACTTAGAGGCCTTAACAAACACTCCTCTACAAGTCAAAGTCATAAGTCAATAATATGCTTGAAAGTACTAGAAAGGAATATAGCTGGAGAAAGACAGTTTCTCATTCCCAACGTGTCAAATGCGAACGTTTTGCATTGGGCATAGCGTGATTTAGCCAAGTAGGACATCCCAAATTGCATTCCTGGGTGCAAATTTGTAAATTCAAGGGTAGCAAGGCAATGACGTGCCTTACTCTCCTTATGATTGGCACGTAATCGTTGCCTTCCTTGGTTGGATTGGTTAGGTTTAGGTAAGAGGAGTTGGATTGGTTAGGTTTAAAGTAAAAATGTCAGGGTAGGCCAATCAGAGGCAGAGTAACACGGAGTAAGTCAGGCCATTCCTTTGCTATCCTATGATTTGTAAAATTCTTTCCTGGACCAACACTGCCATCAACTAATCACAGCTCTCTGACAACATCACTGTACTGCTTTTGTGCTTCTTTCAAAACTCCTTTGTCCTTCTTCAGAGCTAAGTATTCCATCTTAAGTTTGTAAGATTTGAACAAAATCTTCAGTAAGGCTGAAAAAAATCCTTCTGAACTACCGCAGGGTCAGTGAATTAGATTGCTAACTAGGTCGGCTATGCTAACGAGCAAGCTTGCCAACCAGCTAGAATACTGTTTACTAACATTTAAGAGGGAAAATGATACCATTTTAAAAAACTAATAATTCAGATCATTTGTTTATGTTGATCCAAGACAAATCGTATTAATCCTGAATAATTTGCTTAAGTTGATCCAGGAGTATCATTGACATGTTAATTTTTGGATTATTTGCTTATGCTGATCCAAGACCATCCCTATTTACCCTGCCTAATTTGTATATGCTGATCCAAGACCGTCATCGATATGCTGATCCTGGAAAATTTGTCTGTGTGACGACAACATAGCATTAATGGTCTTAAGTTAGCAATAGCAATTTTATAGAGAATCAACATGTCCATGATTATACAGGGTTCAGATGGATGTGGTGGTCCTAGTCATGCAAACAAAAAGTGTGTATATGTGGAGTATACATGTTTGAAAGTGTGTCTGACACAGGTCTTTGCATGATATCATCCTTTGCAAAATGGATAATATTTGCAAAATAATAATATACCACCACTCCACTGGATTGTATATCACTGTATATGACATATTATGTAGTTTGTAGTGATGCATGGGTGTATAAGCAGCAATTTATTGTAGCTGTATAGCCACTCCATGTACAGTTAGGCAGTTTAGTCCAGTGGCTGCAAAAATCAAAGACAGGAAAAAAACCCACTGTGCTACTGAAATTTGTATTAACTTCACTTATTTTTCTCCTTGGAGCAATTAAAAACACATCAAAAATGTTCAATAATATGCCTCTGAAATGTAGCAGAGAACAAGTATAAAGTAGAAGGAAATGGAAATACTCAAGTAAAGCACATATAGTATATCTCTAAATTTGATTACCAGACCTTCAGGATCAGGTCCTCAGACATGCCCCTTTTTTGTTTTTAACACCTGGAGGTACCTGGTTTTGACTGGGAGAGTCACTTTTCCCTCACGAAATCAGAAACTCCAGGAGATCCTCCCCTCCTGGTCAGCGTCAAAGCCATGACACATAAGAGAAGTTATAAATGAACCCCTGGATCACACACTGATGTTTGACACACACAGACACACACTGCATCATACGACACAGCAAAGAAGAATATCCTATACTGGTGAGTAAAACAATTTGAACTTTTAATGAGCTTCATGGGTCAGTTACATTTTGTATGTTGTTTTGTACCTGCTCAAAGCATCTCAGTCAATTAAGAGAGGCAGGCTAGACTGTCTAACTGTTGAATTTAAGTTACATCACCTCTATATTAATTATCAAGATTGATGCAATAAATTTATCTTATTAGAATCAATGTCAACCTAGAGAAATCTTACAAATTACTGTGGATAAAACAATGTGGTTGTGTTGAGTTTAAGTGGATTTCCTGACAACTTTATGCAGGGAATAAAATACTTTGTAGTAAATTAGAACATTTAATCTGTCTTCAGTTGCTAAAAGGTTTTTCAATTTAAATCTTTGATAAGAAAATTTCTGTATTTTCATTTGAAATATTTCAGAAATCTGCAAAGATAGTTACACTTAATTTATACTTGTAGTTATTACTCAAATAGTTAAATGCAAATGCAAGAAAGAAAAACTGGAGAAAAAGCCTGTTATTAGTGTTACTAATCAGTGTACTAGTAACAAGCAATAAGTGATAAGATAAGACAAGATAAGATAAGATAAAATAACTCACTCGTAACAGCAGCTCAAGATACAAAAGCAAAGGCAAAAAGTGACGAAGTGTGTGAGTGATAAAAACACAACAAAAATTACAAATAAGATAAAAAATTAAAAATAATAATAATAGAAAAGCTATATACACTTATATTTACAGTTATATTTGTTTTTGTCTTTAAAAAGTCTTAATAATAACAAAAGGTAACAGTAAAATAGGTAAATAGCTTCCAACCTTTAATGACCCATGCTTTTGATTTTGTAACAAAACAAGTCTCCTTTTCCAAGTATAACCTTACTCTTGAAAATTTCAATGAATACATCTTAAACAGGTCATTATAGTGTAGAGTATTCAGCACCCAATTAAAGGCTCCAAAATAGCCTTCTATTTAAAATTCTGTTTTGTTAATTTCATACGCACTAGACATGCCTGAAGAAAAAAACAGTTGATTAAGTCTGCCATCTCCAGGGACGATCATCTTGGCAAAGAGCTTCACTCCTTCGTCTGTGTGATTAGCCCCACAGGAGCGTGCGTGGCCTGAAGTAGCACCGGCAGCAGTGGGAGGTGAGAAACACCATTCACTCAGGGAGGAGGGGCAAGAAAGGTCCACATTTAATCCGAATAGGCCCCTTGATGGCTGTACAAGGAACGATCACAGCCTCTGGCTCCAATGGTCCCTTCAGTGAAGGGAGCTCAGGTGTACTGCATGTAAAGACTCATGCAAATCAGCTTGACTCTGACTCAGTATTTGTAATATAATCCCAGAGCACAGAACAAACAATCACAACATGCAAAAAAGCTTCCATTTGTGGTTCATTTGTGCTTAATAGGGCCCAAAGACAGAGACACAGAGCTCAAGGCCCAGTTCACCCGTAATGCTTTACTTCATGTCTGACTCCAGTTTTGATTCCATCAATCCAGCCATTATTGCATTTATTTTCCAGGTTATTGTCCTTTTCTGGTCAGAAATTAGCTTTAGGAATAGTTTAATGTCAAAAACAGGCTTTTAAGAGCTCCAGGACAATACTAAATTTCAAATGAACCGATTAACAATAGTCTCAAGCAATCGCCTACGTGCAGAATATGAAGCTTGCCATTTTTATTTGGGAATAGCTGCCCTTTTTATTCTGCTGTGAGAGGGTGGTGCTTTTGGTCTGAGTCCCATAAGTGAATTAGATGTCCCTGTGTGCACGGAGTCACGCCTCCCAGAGGAAGATACGTGCAGACACAATAACACAATAACAGCCCGAGGAGAAGCCCTGACAGTGTTTGTAACATGTTTTTATTGCTCTCTGGGGACTGTCGCTTTACTCTGCGGCTAGTTTAACTCTACTGAGAATAAACTTTTCAACAGATTAGAAACAAGGATTCTAATGATCAACAGTCATGACAGGCTGTATCATTTAGAAGATCACAGACTAGACTAGAAAAGAATATGAAGAATGTGTCTCCTATGTGTATGTAGTGAGTGAGTGCTGTGCAGAAAGTGATTAAACATGTTAAACCTGCACAGATCAGTTGCCAGAACAAATTGTTGATATTGTACATTTCTGCAAACCACAAATAAATTACATTTTTTTACATTTCACATCTATCACATTAACGTTTCTAAAGTAACATAATGTATGAGCTGACTGTCACTGGGAGGTGGAGGGGATGGTGGATACTGTATCACCAGTGCAAGATGGCTGCCAAGACTAGCAAACAACAAAAGTGGTTGGGTTTTAGCGAGTCATTGCTGTGTTTCCATCAGCTTTAGGCTCCTGATGTGGATGTTTTGTAGCTACTTGTTGGTGTGTTTGCATCAACTTTTTAGGCTCCATGCATGGGTGCTTTGAAGCACCCTGTCAGTGTCTTTCCATCTGCATTTTAGGCTCCAAACATGGGAATTTTGTAGCAACCTGTAGCTGTGTTTTCATCTGCTTTTTACGCTCCAAATGTGGGTGTTTCGTAGCAGCCCGTCGGTGTGTTTCATCTGCTTTTTAGGCTCCAAATGTGGATTTTTTGTAGTGACCAGTCAGTGTGTTTTTTGTCAACTTTTTAGACTCCAAACAGAAGTGTTTTGCAGCAACTTGTCAGTGTGTTTCGTTCGGCTTTATAGGCTACAAACGGGCATTTTGTAGCCGCCAGTTGTCACCAACTGTTTTTTGTGCCAAAACCGAACCACAGTGAAATTTTAAGGTTAAACGGATCCACGACACAATAACGTGCATATGTAATGTATCCATGGTTTGCAGAAACGCACAATGTCAAAATTTTGTAGCGATTGGGTTGACTCTCACAACTATTCTTATTCTTCTCCCATCAGAGTACTGGTTTTTGTGTTTGTTTTGTTTTTTGCAGTTGCAGAATAATGGAAAGAAATATATCATCAACTCTCAACTCGACCGCTCTCCCACTCAATACCACTGCTAACGCCACAGAGAAACCCTTCAGTGTATTTGATGGATGTGAACATATGGTAGAGGGCATCCTCTTCGACCTGACCCTGCAGTCCATCAATGTAGCTGTGGGAATCCCTGCTAACTTACTTGTCATCGCCATCCTCATTCGCAATTGCAAAGAGCCCACCACTTCAGACATATTCTTGGGCTGCCTGGCCTCCATGGATGCCTACTTTAGCGCCATGACCCCTGTCAGCTTCCTTAACCTTTACCACTGGCACAGCAAAGAAGTTTGGTCAGCCCTGAAGTTCTCCTATGGTGTGAAAGATATAAGCGGGCCGTTGTTTCTCTCCTGTATCTGCCTGGATCGATTTATTGCCGTGCTCTTTCCAGTTATGTTTGGGCAGCTTAAACACATTAAGTACAGGATAAGCCTCTCACTGCTGGTGTTCTGCCTCACTTTTGCCTACTCTGCAGCCAAGGTTGTGGGAGGTCTTCCCAACTTTGAGAAGGTGTTCACCGGTGCGATCTTGGCAGCATTTACTTGGATGGTCGTGTGCAATGTGTCTATCCTGTGGGCCCTGAAGAAGTCCCACGGCACAGGTAAAGATGAGATGCACCCCATGAAGAAGAAGGCCTTCAAGATGGTGCTGTCTATCCTTTGTATCATTGTGTTTAACTACCTGCCACCTGTTGCAATGTTCCCTTTTGAAGACCACTACGCCCCTAATGTATTTCGCTGCTATGTGCAGCCTGTGGGCTTTGCTTTCCTCAACATCAGCAGCACCATCCAGCCGCTCGTCTATCTGTCTCGTCTGGAGAGGATTCCTTTCCTCCCAGACAGCTGCGTCAAGAAGTACTGCACCTGTGTCTCGGCAGAGAACAATAAAACCCCACCTGCTCAAAAGCCACCTGCTTAGATTTAGGAAGATCTTATATTCACATTGTAACTCATGGATGCTCAGTTTAACATTTGTCTCTAAAGAAGACTTGTAAGAGAAAGGATACACTATGAATACCATATATCTGTGAATTTGTGACTGTGACTCCTGTTTAATTTTCTAGATGTGTGTTTTCATTAAGTAGATTATTATGTAAACTGCGAAACTGTAAAAATCTGGGGGTAAAATGTCTACAAACAGCTCGAGGTTTCTGTGTTAAAGTAGTCTCAACTGTAATGAAAGCCTTCAACATATTTATTTGACTTTGGCGCCATCATGTGTACAAAAGACAGAAATAAACAGTACTGTACAGCCTAAACTCCTCATCATGAATGTGACACAGACTTGTGTTTGTGCATGTGTGTGATATTTATTCTTTAAAGTGCATAGTGCTGAATAAGTTAGAAACCTCTCCCTCATCTGAGTGCAACATAATATGGTAATCATCAATAGAAGAATCACAGAACACCCGCACAGCAGTGTCATTCATTTTGATGTAAGTCATAGGCAATTTAAAACAGTGAGAAAGACAGGGCTTGCCACACACCAAAACCTAGTTGTTAAACTTCTGATTTTTACCTATAACATTTTTTTTTAATGTAAACATGCTTTCCCATCTTCCACCACAGACAGCAATGTATATTTATCCTCTTACATTAGCAATTTAGGAACCATTTCTGGATTTTATGACAATTTAACACGACAGCTTGTCTTCAAAGTTAAATCATTTCATAATCTAGACACTCTCTGAGCATTGCCCTTCAAAGCAATAGTGCTACAATATGGGAAATACCCTTTTTGGTTTCTTGCCAAGAGTTAAATGTCAAGAATTCTATACAGCCCAAAACCACACATTTGCTTCAAGGGACTTCACAGTCTGCACAGCATACAGCACACTCTGTTCTCAAAGGGGCTGCATGTGAAATTCAGAGCACAAAGTGGAAGTGGCTGAGCTGGTGGCTAGCAGCTAACCGTGCTAACTCTATAAACAGCACTACAACATTGACGGAGCTAACAGTGTTAACTAGGGGGACCCCAGAGGGTGGGCGCTTTGCTCCCAAGATGATGCCATCCCGGTATCAGTGATAACATGCTGTACAAGGGTGGTGCAAAGCAGTGGCGATGAGCTATAGCCAGCAGGATACACGCACGTGCAACCAGACCAGCTTACCACAAGAAACCACAGAGAAGCTTGGATTACAGCACACAAAGTTTACGTGACTTCATTCTCTACGAAAGAAGGCAATTCTCCTGTGTATCTGTACATAGCAAATAACAGTTTGCTGCTGTATTAATGCTCTGAATGTCACACACAGAACCTTTAAACCCTTTATGATTGATTCGAATGTCCAGTAAAGATTTAACTGGAGCTAGCTGCCAGTTATCTTAGGGGGAAACCATTTGTCACCAATCCCACTCATCCATCAAATCACGACTGGAACCATATTTTCTTGCATAAAACCTTCATCCTCTTATTGTCGCAACATGGTGACAAGTACCCTCTCTGGCATTATTCTCAGTGGATGACTGCTCTGTGTATAAAAATATGGAAGTAAAGTTTCCGTGAATGTGTCTGTGAATGCATAAATGAGTGTGTCATCAGCAGGGTTGAAGAAAGACACCGTCCCTTTGTTGTAATCCAGTTGCACTCTGACATGTTTTGGCGCTCTTTTAACTGTCAGCGGCGTGGGTGGCGAGGTCATTGCCCTGAACTCTCCGTCCCGAAAGCACAAAGTCCAGAATCCATTCTCAGGCCGAGCGGAGATCTCAGAGTCCCTAGGTACAGACAAAGAGGCCACGCCCAGGAGCCAGTCTTGATTACTTCCTGTTTCCACGACCCAGTGGTGGCTTCCTGAGCCCAGTGCGGTCATGCCTACCACTTCTGCGCTGATGTGGAAGCGCTCTGGGTTGTCAGGGCAACTGTTGTGCTGCTTTGAGTAATGGACGGAAGTGAGGTCGTCAGACAGGATGAGGCAGGGGTGTGCTGTGTTTGGGTCCAAAGTCACAGGAGCTGAAAGGCAGGATATTAGCAAAAAGACAGATATGTTAAAGCAGCACAGTCACCACGAGAAAATGTCAGCATTGTATGTTTCTGCACACCATGAATACATTACATTGGTATGTTTCGTATACATGTATAATAAGGTTGGAGGGGAGGGGATGGGATGGTGGATGGTATGTCACCTGGTCAAAATGCCTGCCAAGCTGCAGACTACTGTTTGAGACCAACAAACATCAAAGCCAGCTATTTTTTGATGAGTCATAGCTGCATTTCTAGCAGCTTTTTAGCCACCAGACTGGGGTGTTTTTCCTGCCAGAATAGTGCTATAAAAAATGGTCTTTTTAACTGAGACATTGCCGTTTTTTCTGCTGGCATAGTACCATGAAAGGTGGACATTTTTTCCCAAGACATTGCTGAAGTTTCGGCTGGGATTGAGCCACAGAAAACAGTAGTTTTTTACAGAGATGACAACAGCTTCTCCAGCAAAATGTGATCTTTCTCTAACCATAACCAAGTGGTTTTTGTGCCTAAACTTTACTACTGGTTATCCACAGCATTGTTGAAATAGAAAGAAAAGTAAAGCTCCAACGTATCCACTACATAATAGCATACAAATGTAACATAGCCGTCATTTGCAGAAATGTAAAATGCCAACAATATTCTGGTGATTGGGTTTGTTGAACAGGATTTGGGTTGCACAGTTTTACTCTTTCGGCCTCAACATGAAGACAATTACACTTATATGTACTTACTGTAGTCAATATGGTCCAGCATTTTCTCCCAAACTTTATACTTGAGGTTGCAGAGATGCACTGTAACATCAATCAGAAACCCGGCCATGTTGTCTGAACCAAACGCTATGCTTTTCTCTCTGTGATAAAAACAAATATCTTACATTGAGAATGTATCACAAAGTAGAAATAGTGTAAATCTATAACTTTGTTGACCTACCTGTCCTGGGTATCTTTGAAATTCTGGAAAAGGAAAAATACATAATCAATGTGGGAAGTTTTTGGGAACAGTGGTTAGAAAGTTGATGCACACCTGACTGTACCGACCTTCAACAAGACCATATCCTCTTCTTTCAGCTGCTCCTGTATGACTGAGATGGTCTCTGCGATCAACAGCACTTCTGCTGAAAGTTCTTTGATCTTATCCTTCATTCCTGCCATTTTTTCTTCTTCTTCTTTCTTCACAGCTGCTATTCTGGCCGACTCTTCTTGGTGGAGGATTTCGTGGAGCTGCTCGAACTGGCTCTTGATTGATTTTTGCGTTTTCAGTGACTGAATCTGCAAGAGATTGTTGACATTTTTATGTGACCAAATTTCTTTTTAGTTCAAAACCATTTATCTGTCAGTTCATCTCAGGTTACCTTAATGTACTTGAACATGTCCGCAGAGGTCATGTGAATTCTTTTGAGGCTGTCCACTTTCTCTTGCAGGTTCTTTAGGGATAAGGCAAGTTCATCCTAAAAATCAAACAGGCCTCGGTCAGTAGAGATCAGAGAGTTTAACAATGTGTCAGTGGTTTGAGTGCTTTGGATACTTTAGGCCTGGGTTCATCAGTGAAACATTACAGCCTGGCAAACAATCAGGACAGACTTGTGGGACAGCATTCTACCGTTAGGTGTTACCATGAATACTTAATGTTGACTGAAACAGCTGAGCACATTTAGCAGGTTGTTTTCACAGGTGGGAAACACATAAATTTATTTCCCTTACCTTGCAGTCGAGAACTGCCTCTTCTATAGGCGAGCAGTCGTGAGTCTTGTGCAGTTTAGAGGACTGACACACCACACAGATGGGCTGTTTGTCAACCAGACAGAAGAGCTTTAACTTCTCCCCGTGCAGACTACAGTTCATCTTCTCTTCCAGCGCCACTGAACTCCTCTTGGCCTCCACCAGAGCTTCACAGACATTTCTCAGAGCCAAATTGGTGGGAGGACTGGCCTTGGAGGCTTTCTTCCTGCATACTGCACACTCACGTATCCCTGTTTCCCAAAAGCGCTTCAAACAACTCCTGCAGAAGCTGTGGCTACATGACAGCAACACTGGGTCCGTAAAGATGTCACAGCATATTGGGCATGTGAGATCCTCCTCTGGGAGTGACATGATAAGTTGCTTCTCATGTACAATGTAGAGAATCCAAAGTTAAAAACAGCATGTGTCCCCAGGTTTCAGTCCTTAATAATTCCTCTGTCAACTATGATGTAGCGTGCCTGGTTAAACTTGTCTCCTGAAAGTCTCAGAGCACACTAACAGCCCCTGCATTGTTCTTGACACGAAGTAGCAAGTGCTCTCGGCTTTCCTGTGCATGACTTTTGTGGGAGTAACTCAAATCATGCAGCACAGTGAAACAACACTGTATGTAGCCGTGCTGGGAAACAGGAAATGAAGCCCTATTGGCTGGTCGTTGGGTCGCTTTAAGCTGGTTGGTAACTGCATGTTTGGAATGTCATCATTCAGGATAATGTGAATGTGAATGTTCCAGCGTTGACTTCCATGCTAACAGCCAAAGGCAGCATGAGCAATCATTTTAATCTACTTATTAATTCACTCTGCAGTTAGCAATTGACCATTTAAACAAGCGAAGGTCATGTAAAACAATACATTGCAACTAATTTCATACATCAGTGAATTCAGTGACTGTGGCATTGTTGCCCTGCTGTGTTCAGAGGGTGGTTTCTGACCTCTAGGCATTGAGTTTTAACCCAGACTGGCTAAACCAGTTCAGAGAATTCAGCAAGACTAACCAATAAGTTGCTTATTAAAACCTCAATGAGGCACAAATTTACTTCAAAGTGAGCCAAAGGGCTACAAAAAGACACAAAGCAAGCAATACAAAAAAAAATACAACAGGCAAGACAACATAGATATCAGGAGACAAAATAGATATCAAGGATGAATCAGATGGCATATGCCAGTTTAAAAAGATGTGTTTTAAGATGGGATTTGAAGGTGGAGAGAGAGTCAATATTGCAGATATCTTGTGGGAGAGAGTTCCAAAGTCGGGGGGCGGAGCATCTGAAGGCTCTAGCTCCCATGGTGGACAAGCGAGCAGATGGTGTGGCAAGTTGGATAGCGGGAGAGGATCTTAGAGTACAGGAAGGAGTGTGAATATGAAGGAGTTCAGAAAGATACAATGGGGCTAGGGCATCAAGGGCCTTAAAGGTGAGCAGCACAATCTTGAAGTCGATATGGTGTTTGACAGGGAGCCAGTGAAGTTGTTGAAGAAAAGGGGTGATGTGCTCAATTGAGGGAGTTCGAGTTTTTACAGTTTTTATTTATTTATTCATTTATTTATTTATTTAGTAGACAAAGGCATAAGAGAAGGAATGGCAGTAGAAAAGGGAATAAAGTAAATAGATAGATCCTTTATTGACATTGAAACTTTGGTGGAGCAATCCAGTTAGCAGCATATAATGTTTACACATGCACCATCATACACTCACATATTCACCAACACACCCTCGCTCATTACATCATTCTCACAATCACGTACAGTGAAGTAGACAGTAGTCGAAGTACTGATAGTAGTGGAGTAGTAGCCTTATCTTTGGTCCTGAGCTGAAGCCTTCTGATCCTCCTCCTATATGCCCTTGTAGGATATTTGAAAAGCTAAGTATAGAAAAAAAATCTGTATAGTTAAGCGTAAAGATGGCAGGAGGCGTCTACAAGTTTTTGTCTACCAGTATTGTATATTTCTTTGCTCTTTTTGTCTTAAATACTGTGCAAATAAGTTGCTGTGACAGAATAATTTCCTGTGGGAATGATAAAGTACTCTGTCTGTCTTGAGGCCAGCTGAAATTGTTTTGCCTTGAGGACATTTCACTTCACAACTTCACATCCTTAACTAAACACATAGTAAATTTGAGAATGCAATGGAAACATTGTTCATTGCAACAGACAGTTTTGTACACACAACTACGTACTTGTGTATGAAAAATGAACAGTGAAGGTCATTATTAGGCTGTTCGATTCAGGTCTGGTCTAGTTCCTCTGTTTTTCAACCCTTCAGTCAGGTCTGACCACTTTGAATTCCCAGGTGAATGCATCCATACCTTGCAGAAAATCTGGCAGAGTCTGTTTTTCTTCTTGAGCTGGGTCTCATTTGCATCAGTATCAGATGTAGCCGTAACACCTTCGTTCATACCAACATCGCTTCTCTCATCTTGAGGGTCACTGCTGTGGACTGCTGTGGTCCGATGGAGTGTGAAGGAGCTCGTCCTCTTCTACATGATCAACTAACTGCAGAAAGGTGGATTTCATCTTACTGGAGCAGGCCTTGGATGTGGCTGGAGGAGAAGAGGAAAGTTTGTATCCAGATGATAGTTTACTTGATGACAACTTGACGGACTCGTCCATTTGTTCGTCTAAAAACAGATGGACCTTTTTCTTTTGTCAGCAGCTCCACCATGTTGACTTCTTGTGGACTTTGATGGTATGTGCATCCATCAATCTCATGATCATTATTTTTTTTGTCCATCTTGACTGTCTAAATTTACAAATTAACTTGCAGCAAGTGGCAGAATGGACATTGAAGGATCCTAAACTTAGTGAGGCTTGTAGGGAACAAGACAGAACAGAGTTGACCTCATCAGAGATCGCTGTCACAATGGGCTCCATACATTTGGGTGTTATGCCAACAGATTTGTCCACACCAGCCACTTTACTGAAAACCTCTCCAAAGGAGCTTTTAAAACTTAGGTGAAGTTTGTCCTCAGTACTGACAGACTTTTCCCTGAGAGGCTATAAAAGCCAATTTTGGCCAAAAGAACAACATGCCTGGGAGGAGGTGGTACTCCTCCTGGTCAAGGTACCAATTTCGGAGCAAACTGATTCATGGCTTGTGGTAGAATATCACTGATTGTCTCTATGAAGAGTGTCAGCACCACCACACACACGTTAGCCAGCTTGTCCTTCACTTTAGCAGTAGAAATACATTTACTTATTTCTCTCTGCTGCCAAAAAGGAAAAATACACAGAGAAACAAAGGTAAAGCACAAAAACAAAAATGCACACAACAAATGCCAAGTGCACTCAAGTGTAAGCAGGAGTTTCAGTAAGTAAACTACTTACTTTTCAGTAAGGCTGTCAAAAAATGCCTTGATTATGGTGTAGAAGATTTATTTTAGGCCAGTGAGCTAGTGAATGAATCTGTGAATGAAGACTTTTCTCTGTGATGTTCTACTGGTGGTGATGAAGTGGGGGTGGATGGTTTTGGCGCGACAGTATTCTCTATTGATGTGATGTCGTCATCCTCCACATCCATCAGTTCCAGAGGGACAGAGGTCAGGTCTGCCTGCAGAGCGGCCTTGATGTCCTCACTGGAGGCGGTTGAGGCAGTGGGAGGAGACGCATGGTCAGATGACTCGATATTTGATCCAAGGTCTCGTGGAACATTTCCAGTCTCCGGGGTGACGTCCTCATGCTCCACATAATCAACCATCTCCAGAGGGACAGAGGTCAGGTCTGCTTCCTCAGCAGTCTTGATGTCCAAACTGGAACTGGTTGACACAGTGGGAGACATCTCTTCAGGACAAGGAGTGCTATATTTTGAGTCACTGCTTTCTGACTCGACAACCTCATCCAAATCCTTGTCTGTTGCCTGCTGGACCTTATTCCTTGATTTTAATGTGATGCAGCATTTCCATACCGACTTCAACCTCTTAAAGATGTTGCTTTCACGTCTGTTTGTAGATTTCACGTCTGTCCTGTCAGAATCACATGACCTCTGTGTACTGACAGTCAAAAAGGATTCATATACATCTTTGTCATCCTCCTGGAAGGTTGCATCCACAGTTATGTTTTTAAGAAATTAGGATTTTTTAAAATGTTCTGTAATCCCTCTTCTATGACAGAAAATATGTAAATATGCCTCAACTTGTGTAAAAGTATATCAGCAGTGCTGCTGATGAGAATTTCATTTCATCAGTTTGATATCATTGAAATATGCATGCGTGTGACATAATTAGTCTTTTTCTTAACACACCACATTTATACAGGTCATTTTTTGCTCACATATAAGGGACCAGAAAATATCTTTTCTGAAAGAAGAATCCAAGAAAGACAAAATGTAAAATACATGGCAGCTAAAAATAGATTAAATGACACAGTGAACTTCTGTAGAGAAGTGGCAGTGCATTTCCAGTTGTAATGGAAAGTGACATGTTTTTAGCATAATTGAATTTTTAAAGGTGTCCTTGATTCTGAATATAAAACTCAACATTATGCATAATAGTGTCTGCCTTTTAGGCCCACAGGTAACGAATATTCAGTGTTCACATGCAGAGTTTTCTTATAGTCATAATAGCATAAAAACAATAGTAATAAACTGCATTTGTAGAGCACTTTTCATACAAGAGATGTAGCTCAAATTGCTTTGCAATAAAAAATACAAATGCAACACATTAAAACAAGGCCAAACAGACAATACAATTAGACAATAAAAAGACCTGTAAGAATACTAACAAGGAGGGAATTATTTCAAAATAACTTAATGAAAGCCAAAGTAAATAAATAGGTTTTCCGCAGTCTTTTAATAATGTTCAAATCAAAAATAATACAAAAACATCTTTAACTTTAGAAACTGGCTGAGGGCTTTAAAGGAGAGTTTCACAACTGTAAAAATGTGCTTTTCCCTCGACAGTGTTTCCCTGTTGAGCTGCAGTGGAGGGCTAGTAGCAAAAACAAGGAATTTGGTACTAAATAGCCTGTAACTTTGGACAATATCCTTTTAATGTGCCTAACTCAGATGCCTCATATTAGCTTCAGATAAACTTTGGAATACATTTTTGCACATAATGAGGTCTGTGGACTTTGTCCTTCATCGTGTATGCCATTCTGATTGTAAAACAAAAGGGTGATATAGGTATATTTTGATGCTAGAAATTTTGTACTTTTACTTAAAGGTGCAGTGTGTGAGATTTAGGGGGATTCAGTGGATTTTGTGTTTTTTGTACTCTCACCAGCCACTTTATTAGGTACACTTGTTCAACTGCCCGTTAACGCAAATACCTAATCGCCAATCACAGAAATCACTATCAAATATCCAGTGAGCAGCAGTTCTCTGGGGAAAAATGCCTTGTTGATGCCAGAGGTCAGAGGAGAATGGCCAGACTGGTTCAAGATGATAGAAAGGCAACAGTAACTCAAATAACCCCTCGTTACAACCAAGGTCTGCAGAAGACCATCTCTGAACCAACAACATGTTGAACCTTGAAGCAGATGGGCTACAGCAGCAGAAGACCATGCCAGGTACCACTACAATTCACACGGGCTCACCAAAACTGGACAATAGAAGATTGGAAAAACGTTGCCTGGTCTGATGAGTCTGGATCTCTTCTGCAACATTCAGATGGTAGGGTCAGAATTTGGTGTAAACAACATGAAAGCATGGATCCATCCTGCCTTGTATCAACGGTTCAGGCTGGCGGTGGTGGTGTAATGGTGTGGGGGATATTTTCTTGGCACACTTTGGGCCCCTTAGTACCAACTGAGCATGGTTTAAACACCACAGCCTACCTGAGTATTGTTGCTGACCATATCCATCCCTTTATGACCACAGTGTACCCATCTTCTGATAGCTACTTCCAGCAGGAAATGCACCTTTGGGATGCAGTGAGTTTTGCATCATGGATGTGCAGCCGACAAATCTGCAACAGCTGCATGATGCTACCTTGTCAATATAGACAAAAATCTCTGAGGAATGTTTCCAGCACTTTGTTGAATCTATCTAAGGCAAATGGGTGTTGACTCCCTCTATAGAAGATTTGCCCTTGGCTGCACATCCTTTGTTTTACTCATTTTGTCCTGTGTTAACATGCAGACCTCATGGCACCAAAACATAATACTGTAGGATAACATGAAGTTGTAAGTCAAGAAGTCCCCTAACTCCAATTGACACAATTAATATGTTACTGTCCGTGTCCTTTCAAATCATGGCTGACTGATGTTGTGTGTTAAAGTCAAAATAATAAACTCCTACTTTACAATAGACTTCACTGTTAAAACTGCGCATCAATAACCTCGATGACCTCTCATAGTAAACGCCTCAGTCATGTGTTTCTGTGTGTGTGATTGGAGGGTGTGTGTGTGTGTGTGTGTGTGTGTGTGTGAGTGCACGTGAATAATGATGAGAATCCCTACTGATGACTGATGCAGCTCCTCACACCCTATCCGCCATTTCCACGGGTCTTGGTCCCTCCCTTTCTCCTCCGGTCTTTGGTTGCCATGGCGATGACGTCAAGTTGCACCACCGATTCAGCCCAGTAGACGGTCTCAGAGGCGGTGCAACAAAATCCCGGACGACCGACTGCAAGAGTCATCATCCTGTGTGAATCTCTGCCGCTCAGTCTCACATCTCCTACTCGACCATCCTCCTCTCCATCTGTCCAGAATGCGCGAAATTGTGCATTTGCAAGCCGGTCAGTGCGGAAACCAGATCGGAGCCAAGGTAATTCTTCTCATTTCCATTTTCTGTGTGGTTTGACATTGTGGCGACACCTGAGCCCGCAGCTAATCCATCCTCCAAGAATCCTCTAGAATAAACCCAAGGCGGTGTCGTCTCTTGATCCAAGCGTCGTGCAATGACTGAAAATTGAAATCATAGACGTTTTGCTCATTCATATTCTCTGCACGGTTTACACTGGCCTTAAGGCTCGTGCACGGGTGCGTTCGTGTTAAATTATGCAACATATAAAATACATTTGCTTTGCAAAATTAAGATTTGAGCATTAAACCCTTTTTGTCGAGTGCTGCAATCAATTATTTAAAGAATTGACGGTAGTAGTACTGAAACCACTGTCTGTGTGGTGTGGTGTAGTAGCAGCCACCCCTCCCCCTCCACATATATGACCTATTTTGGGCTCTAATTCTTTTCAAGCAAATTCCAGTTGAAAAAATGTCTCATTCACACAAATCCATGATTTTATTTTGTTACTTTAACACATACGATTGCATATTTTGGTAGTTTAAAGCTTGCTGAGGTTTATTGTACAGTGTGTTCTTACAGCATCAAAGACACTTGCTTATCAGATTATTGCCATCTGCTTGATTACTCCTGAGACAGCCTGCATTTCAGACTAATAGACTGCTCTTTTGACCTGCACTCAATTAGAGAATTAAACAGCCATTGCAGATTTGCTGGTGTAAAAATAGCTTCCTGTAAAGTTGCAGTGTGCTATATCGAGAAACACGGCTTATTTATTTATTTTTACCGTGACTTAACATCTATCTCCTTCCTTCCACGCCTATTTTTCTCAGTTCTGGGAGGTGATCAGCGATGAGCATGGCATTGATCCCACTGGTACCTACCATGGCGACAGCGATCTGCAGCTAGACAGAATCAGCGTCTACTACAATGAGGCCACAGGTGAGCTCCAGATACAGTGGTAACACAACAGAGCAAACTGAACAATCTCTTTTCTTCCCTCACCTGCCCAGCTCACCTACCGTGCAAAATAATTTGCATACATGTGTGTGTTTTACATTTATTACATAATGCATCAAGCTTGACAAGCATCCGACTTGGTTTCAGGTGGGAAGTACGTGCCCCGAGCCATCCTGGTGGATCTGGAGCCTGGTACGATGGATTCAGTCAGGTCCGGTCCCTTTGGGCAGATCTTCAGACCCGACAACTTTGTCTTCGGTAAGCTGTGAATTTAGTGAACTAACCTGCAATCACGTCTGAATTTAGTGATGGTTTTTTCTCCATCAATGAACTGTGATACTTTTTGATGACAGGTCAGAGTGGAGCTGGAAACAACTGGGCCAAGGGCCACTACACCGAGGGAGCCGAGCTGGTGGACTCCGTCCTGGATGTGGTGAGGAAAGAGGCTGAGAGCTGCGATTGCCTCCAGGGCTTCCAGCTTACACACTCCCTCGGTGGCGGTACTGGCTCTGGCATGGGCACCCTGCTCATCAGCAAGATCCGCGAGGAGTACCCTGACCGCATCATGAACACCTTCAGCGTGGTGCCTTCTCCCAAGGTGTCAGACACTGTGGTGGAGCCCTACAACGCCACTCTCTCTGTCCACCAGCTGGTGGAGAACACAGACGAGACCTACTGCATTGACAATGAAGCTCTCTATGATATCTGCTTCCGCACACTTAAACTCACCACCCCCACCTACGGAGACCTCAACCATTTGGTGTCCGCCACCATGAGCGGCGTGACCACATGTCTGCGTTTCCCCGGCCAGCTCAACGCTGACCTCCGTAAGCTAGCTGTCAACATGGTGCCCTTCCCCCGTCTGCACTTCTTCATGCCAGGCTTCGCCCCCCTCACCAGCAGGGGCAGCCAGCAGTATCGCGCCCTGTCCGTGCCTGAGCTCACCCAGCAGATGTTCGACGCCAAGAACATGATGGCCGCCTGCGACCCACGTCACGGCCGCTACCTCACTGTGGCTGCCGTGTTCAGGGGCCGCATGTCCATGAAGGAGGTGGATGAGCAGATGTTGAATGTGCAGAACAAGAACAGCAGCTACTTCGTAGAATGGATCCCGAACAATGTGAAGACTGCAGTCTGCGACATCCCACCCCGTGGCCTCAAAATGGCTGCCACCTTTATCGGCAACAGCACAGCCATCCAGGAGCTGTTCAAGCGCATCTCCGAGCAGTTCACAGCCATGTTCCGCCGTAAGGCCTTCCTCCACTGGTACACAGGAGAGGGCATGGATGAGATGGAGTTCACCGAGGCCGAGAGCAACATGAACGACCTGGTGTCCGAGTACCAGCAGTACCAGGATGCCACTGCTGAGGAGGGCGAGTTTGAGGAGGAGGGAGAGGAGGAAGTCGCCTAAAACCTCAACCTAACCAGCTGCCAAGCCTCATTTTAACACACACCCCTTCCCCATCATCCCCCTCCATCATGAATCGAATGACCTGACACACTGAGAAACTGTCACTGTCTAGATCACTGTTGCTCTAGTGTTAGACATCAATGTGTACTGATGCTAGTTACGTTTTTGGTTTAACTGTTTTTGTATGTTGTGAATGCACTGACTTACCGTTACATCTATCCTCTCATTGCCTTGCAGAATTGAAAAGCAAGTGATTTTAACTGTGAAGCCTTGGAATTGTAGGGTGAATAAAATCCAATGAAAGGCCACATTTGCTGCCTCTGAGTTTTTATTGATTCACTGAATGTGTGATCTGACATGACTGCACTTCAGTGTCTGTACTGCCAAGTAACTCTCAACCCAAAGGTTAGGAAGGTCACAACCAGTGGTGAGGTAGAAGTTGATTAGCAGGGTTTACTCCTAGGTAGATGGGTTGGTTACCAAGGAGGAAGTGGGCATACTCTCCTATATATTCCAATGGTTTTTGGCTAATAGGTGGGCATACTGTAAAGGGCCATTGAAAGACCGGTATACCTCATATACCCTCCACTACACCACTGATCTCAAAATGATTCATGTGGTCTATAAAAACATGTTTTTATAGACCATAGATGCAAATATTGTAAAGGTGAAAACAATTATTGACATTAGTAGTCAGTGAGAAGCAGTGGTGTAAGGTAGTTACGATGGGCCCAGTGCACGCTATCATGCACATATCGTCTTATCCCATGATCAGAGACTTGATATTGGAAAACATCAACATAGATATTACCCAACAATCATCACTGCATATCTGTAAATAAAAAAGAAATTAATTTAACAATTTAAATAGTTGATTAATAGTTTTAGAATAAGCATATTGTTTTATTATAGATGCCTTTAACTATTTTACAAAAAAGGACAAAATAAATATGACGAAGATGAGTTTGCGTTTTTCAAGGGCATATATAGCAAATGGCACTGTTTTAATTTACTGAGGGTTCTTCTTTGAACACAGGCATATTTTCAAGGTAGCAATTTAAGAGCCCATTCTCCACCCAACACATTGTTGAAGGACCCAATCTCTCTACTCTCTCTACGCCCTTCATTAGTCCAAATCTAGACTACAGTGTTATTTTCTGTAGTAAAAGTCGATGTTAAATTATTTTGGCCTGCTTTCCTCTAGTTTCCAAATATTTCTGTTTATACAAATACCTGTACAAAAAAAGATTAAACTCTCTCTGCAATTTTTCATTACACCATAGGGAACCTTTTCTTCCAAGGAGACTAACAAAGGCCTCAGTGTTCACAGGTAACATCTCACAGGTTGTTGTAGGAGATGAACTTTTCACTATGACTACCAGTCCTGCTTATCTGCTAAGGTGTTTCATCATCCAGTGACTCATCGTGCAAAGTTATGAACTTGTTTACATTTTCCCATTTTTGTGAAGACCTTTTTTTAGATATGGTACATTTATATTTTCCTACCAAAGTGTTATTTTGACTGGGATTGCAGGGGAAATATAATCATAGCTTCAGTAACTAAATGCATTGTATAAACTGTCCTCGGAGATGCTTTAAAATGTTTGAATGTTTTGTGAACACATTTTTTATTTGACAAAAGCTTAAATAAACATGCAACATTGTAAAAACATATCTGCATTTTTGATCTCATGAAATGAAAGACAAGACTTTAAACTAGTTTGAAGTGTAAACAATCTCTTGCTTTTGCTCAATATAATTTGTATAACTTCATTTTTAATTTTTAAATACAAGAGTTTTTGCATTATTATAAAATATTTAATCACACTCATTCAGCTAAAAAACATCTGTCTCGATTTAAAATGCAGTGGACTCATCAGGACTCTCAGTAGTAAAAGAAATGAGCTTGAGGTAAAGATTGGTGTTGATTTTGCCAGTGACAGTATTTCAAAATCACGTTGTGGAGTAAATGACATATTAAGGCAACTGAAATGAGAAAACATCTCTAAACTATAGTTATTAGTCGGGATAAAATACTGAAGCTCCTGTTCCATTCGTGCAGAGGAAATGTTCAAAACCTCCTTGAAATGTTCAACTGTTCTTAAGATCAGCTAGATCCATACGTCCAGGTGCATTTCTTCATAGTGCCATACAGGACCCAGTCAGTGCAGGTTGAAATGAAAGCTGTAAGTAAATGCATCATGTTGTGGTGCCTCAGTCTTGGCGGTCTGTCCTCTCTTACACCTGGGAAGACATTTCTGTCTCTGATCGGCTCAGGGGAGAGAGCCTCGTCACACACTGTCCTCACAGGATTTTGTCCAAACACAAAAGCAGAAACTCTCAGATGAGTCTTTCCTCCTTTGGTAACTTTAGTGCATCAGGTGCCGTCACGCCGCGTGCACCGGACTGTTCCTCTGCACTGGGTCTATACGTCCCTTCAGTCTGTCTCCTCTTTTTCACCACGCAGAGGAGCCAGGCAACAACAGCCAAGACTATCGCCAGAACACCCAGGGTGACTGTCGGGGCCACGATAGCTGCAATGTTGGGTCCCTGCAAATGGAAATAAACAGGGGTTTGATCAATGTGGTGACACTGGATGCTTTCTGATGTCATTTAGTGGTCATGATGAAGATTTGGTACTCACAGCGGTGTTATTAGAACGGCTGTCACTTGCAAGCGTAGTGAAATTCCCTGTGAAAAGAGCAGACAGGTCAGAAACACTGGTAACAATGCAAACTCTTTTCAGGCAAATTCTGCCTGCTTCATGTGTTTACCTCATACATTTGGGCCATCACTACTGGTAACCTATTGGGGCTGTCCGTTAACTAAAAGAATTCCTAGTTAAGGTCCACATATTGTAATATATTCAGTGTCCTTTGGTCATGTCGAGCTATTTTGCTGTCTTTGTTAAGTAGCTATCTGTTATTCACTCATGCTACAGCAGAAAACTGCACTACAAAATAAAAGCTCTGTGCTGGAAATTCACTGTACTTCAAAATAAAAACTCGACACGTTCCTGTGACCCACTTTTGGACCACAACCCACCAGTTGGGAACCACTGATTTAAAGTATTAATTTGATATTTCGGGAAATGAAAGAATGAATGGACTAGTTTACAGGGAACCAGCAGAGCAGTATTGCAGTATTTTTGAGATCGTTCTTGGTCTCGAGACCAGCTTTTGAAGGTCTCGGTCTCGTTATGGAATCGTCTGCATTTTCACTCGATCTTGTCTCAGTCTCAGACAAAGAGGACTCAGGATTTTACTTCAAGTACAATAAAGTATATATATTAAAAAAAAAGAGTAATCAGCAGAGACTCCAGGAGGTTACTGGTACTGGCCAAGAAGTAGTCCAATACCTATGTGCCGAACTCTAGGCTTCAAAATGGCAGTCCACAAATGAATGGGTGACATCACAGTGGCTACGTCCATTATTTTTTTAGTCAGTGTCCAGTACATAGCCCCCCTTAAACAGTGAATTGCTGTTTTTACATTTCAGTTTATATGTATTTAAACAAACAAGATATAATGTCTCAGTAAGCAATTTTTAGAGGTGCCACTCGTGTTGTCATGATACCGAAATTTCTATATTTGATCTGATTGACAGTGAGGGGATAAAATTAAAAATGTTGTTGAAAAGAAAAATATAACTAGGCTATTACATGATAACGATTACTTTTCTTTTCTTGGTTAGTGGCAGAGAACAGCAGAATGACTGCAGTGAAAATTAACAAGAGGAGAAAGCAAGAAATCTCTTTGCACTTGTTTCCAGACGTGTTGCTAACATTAGCTAACCAGCTGCTTAATTTCGTTTAAGTACATGTAAACACAGTCACTAAACAATCCGTACATTGATGAATGAAAGCATACGTCTTTAAAATCCAGCTGAATAATAAAGTGCACACTGTGTGATTGGAACTTATTACTAATGTCCAAAAGATCACGCCAATGAGACAAAAACACAAATAAATGTTTAACTTTTATAGTTGACCAACTAAAAGGAGGCACTTATTCACATTAGAGCTGCAACAATAAATTGATTTATCTGTTAGTTGTCAACTATTAAATGAATCACCAAGTAATTTAATAACTGACTAATCGGTTAGAGTAATTTAAAAGAAAAAAGGCAAAATTCTCATATGCCAGCTGCTTAAATGTGAATATTTCCTTGTTTCTGTATTCATCTGTGACAGTAAATGGAATATCTTTGGGTTGTGGATAAAACAACACATTTAAATATGTCATCTTTGGCTTTGAGAAACACTGATCAACATTTTTAACCATTTTCTGACCAAACAATTAACTGATTAATCAAGAGAATATATTCAGATTGACAGTGAAAATAATTATTATTTGGAATCCTAATTCACATCTTTTTTTATGTAATGGAAACACTATTCTACACAGGTAGAGTAAAAGAGGAACCAACAGTGCAGCAGAAGTTGCTTTGAGCCTTATGCAACACAAAACGCAGCACACAGCACCAGTTATCTGGCCTGTGTGTTGCTGTTTCCAGCCATTTTATCCATGACCAGCCATGTGATTACTCAGTGACATCACAAAACTACAGTTACTACTTGACCAGAGTGTATGAGGTGGAGGAGGCGCTCAGGAATGCAGAGTGCACTGAAGCTATGGCACACTCAGCTGAGTCAAACGACACGAAATATGGGAAAACAACTTCAATCTATTGTTGTCCTGTTTGTTTGTGTTGAGCAATACAAAAGTACTGAAAGTCACTTTAATAAGAAAGTTTTGTTCTGGAGACTTCAACCGTCCCTCACTATTTTCTGAGTCAATCATTCACCAGGGCAAATAGTAAACTCTGCAAGGACAGAAGTGCAACTTGATAACAAGAAGCTGGGGGTCACAGGAGGGGGCAGACATGCTCTAAAAGGAGAGCCGACTCTATTGTGAAACTCTTTTGTATGCATAATTATTGATAAGATAAAACCAGAACTAAATGCACCTCTTTCTCACAGTGTGTGTGTTTCTTACTTCAATCTTTAGTCAAATGTTCCTACAACATGCTGACAAGCCCGTGCATGTCTCAGATTGGCTCTGGAATGTTCTCTCTCTCTTTTATTTTATCTATCACTGCAGGATGTAATGCTGCGTCTGCAGGTGTGGTCATCTGGATGTCTTATTTGTGTGGGGAGGATGTAGGGATGGTCACTGACTCACCGCACGCAGGATTACTGCTCAGCACTAGCAGTAAAACACTCCCAACCACAACTCCAGGCACATCCAGACGCGCTGCCATCTCTACCCGTGACCAGCAGGGGCCAAGTGAGGGCAGAATGGGAGTTCGGCTCATCAGCTCGGGTCCATTTCGTTGGGTCCAGCGTTCACTGCGTGGATTTATCGCCCATCTTTAACAGCTAAAGACACATTAATGTCATTTTTTTGTCACTCTTATAGACTCCTTTAATCTGAGGTTGAGTAAGGAACACCATGCAACCACTGAGTCACACATTCTGCCTGATGTTGAATCACCATTAAACCTGCTCACACCACAGGAAAATAATAAGCTATTAATAGAACACGTATTTAAAACTGAGCACAGCTGTCTTAAATGTCTTATTTGAAACAATATTACTACTAATAAATAAGTCAATAAGTTGTAAAGTTCATTTCCCACATCCTGTTTTCAGGTGATCCAGGAACATCGAGCAGCAGGTTGATTCCTCGCTTCCGCCTCACCTTGTCCAAAATGAAACCGCAACAAATACTTCAGTCCATTGAAAACTAACAGGTAACACCTCAGGGCACAAACCGTGCTTACTTGAATGGCTCCAGTGCCGGACTACATCCTCCTCTGCACTACCAGTTTATGTAAAGCAGTTTGCCTACTCTTCAAATCGCCATTGGTCACATGGGTGAGTTTCGTGTTACATTACCTGAGCGCAGTTATCCACCTGCAGCACAGCGGACAGATACTCCTTTGTATTAAAGCCGAGGAAAAGCGCAGGTTGCTTAAGCAGAGCAGACCCGATCACTCCTGTTGCGATAAAAACAACTCCCTCAAAATACTCTACATTATCTAAAAGATAACTTCAGTCACATTAAAGCCTATTTAGCTCCTGAAACTTTATTTAAACTGAACTTTTATTCCTGATTGCCAGGTTGCTCTTACTCAACCTGCAGCAGGAGCACAATGCCTAACTGTACTCCCCTCCCCAGCTCTTACCTAGCAACCTGCCTGATGATGGTGTTGGCATGAAATAGCGCCTCCATCAGGTTTCATGTTACCAGACATGAGAAAGGATATCAGCATTCCTGAGATATTTTAAGGATGAATTCGGCGGCCAGCTGGTCCAGTGGGCTCTAATCCTCACCTAATCTCCCCCTCACAGACTCACAGGGGCAAAGAAAATGTAGGCAGCGTCAGGCCTAATCTGTGGTGCTCAAATAGTTTTCATTTGAACAGTGTGTGAGGGCAGTGAGGCGTTTTTCAAGAGCAGAGAAAACTGCTGTGGAAAATTACTCCTGTAATGAGCAATGAGACAGTCTGAGGAGGTGGCAGGGTAGCTTGTTTTATTGTATTTTTTACTGTTTGATACTGTGTTTTAGTGATGTAGTGTTTCATGTGACTGCTCATGAGAGACAGGTTATGAATCAGGGTTATTTTTATTACTACTAAGTTACTGTGTTATTTATTAATGGGTACATTATTCATATTCAAGTAGTAATAGATTCAGCATTATTGAGTTACTGGTAAATTTGTATTTCATTGTCATTTATAGTACTTTGTGTATTGTTTAATTGGTATTTTCATTTGCTGTATTAAGTGGAGTGACTTTAATTGTCTCCTACCTGCCCTTGTTTTGTGGGGACAGGTATTGGTGAGACACAAGAGACAGTGAGTGCTTCCTGCTTAACAGAGAAGAAGTTGCTGTACGAAGAGGAAGAAACAAATGTTGTAGCCTGCTTATTACCCACAGCCCAGAAGAACTATAGAGAACACCTACAATCAAGAAAAAGAGGGTTACAGTAATATAGAGAGCTGAAAATTTGGAATAAGTTGAGCAGAGGACTTTCATTTCGACTAAATTAAAGACATGTGCAACATCAGCTGGTGCAGAAAAGGCATGCCGTGCATGGAAATTCACCAGAAATCAGGATAGCCTATAAAATGTTTGATGCTCAAAATTTTCTGTCAGAGGAACCCCAAACCCGCCATTTCATATGCACCCCCAGTGTTCAAACGCCCTTGCAAATAAGGCATGACAACCCACGAGCAATTTTTACCATCTTGTATGTGAAGATGCCATGAACAAGTTGTAGGCCTTTGTCGTGTTGTATGTATTTGTATGGACAAGTGTCCATATAAAAACCTTACATTATTAGTGATGTGTTTGTCACACGGTTGTCCTTTCAGTTGCCTCAGGCAGTATGGTCATTTTATTAGAGAACGCCCATACCAGTCAGTTGTCTCATATACTATGACAGCAGGCAGGTGGTTTACACAGGGTGTGGACACATCACATGCACAATGACATGTGCCTGACAATATAATTCATAATAGCCTTGCAATAATCATCTTTGTGAAGCTTATATGCATCCTTTTTTGTTCAGAAACAAACTTTATTTGTATAGCACTTTTCATACATTAAAAATGCAGCACAAAGTGCTTCATCAATGATGATTTTCAGTGTTGTTTGTTGAATTTGATTGCAGCTATACTGTGAAAATGCCTTCCTAGGGTGGGACACTACAAAGTTAATTCACTGCACATCCCAGCCCAAAGTAATTATGTTTAACTGTTGGTAACCAACACAGTAGCAAAATACCTGCAATGTATGGACTGATGTGAGAGTTGATAGATCAGTGATAAAGCTTCCAAACTGATTTAGCACTTTGGAGTGAGGATTTTTTTTATCTGGTTAAAATAATTACAATTAATAATGTGGGCAGGTGCAACTATTTCTTGTAAACCCGTCCCACTAGGGGGCAGTTGAGGTACTTCGCCTTTCTTTTGATTCATGCGACTCTTCTTTCGCGCACATACCGCTTTGCCGTAGGCGCGGTGGAACCTGGGTAGTGAGTTTTTTTCTCCCTAGGACAGCAAGCTATAATGACCCGCCCTAGTCTGCCTTACTCTGCCTCTGAATGGCTTACCGTGACATTCTTATCAGAGGCAACGAGAACTAGCCAATCAGAAGGAGAGTGGGGCGGGTCATGTTTTCAACGTCGTAGTAGGACGGAGAAAGCGGCGGGAGAGTGGCATATTTATCCTCAAATTTAATATCCGCTAGTTATATTGAACATTAATTAAGTGACAAGTGTGCGTTTAGACACTCAGATAAGGATTGCGTTTGGTAAAACTGAAGGCGTTTGGCAGATAACACTACTGACTCTGTTAACGGCTTGTGTCGTTGCACGTTAGTGCTGCTTTTAAAGCATTCCCCGGGAATCTGGTTTGAACGTTTGTTTTTAGTCAACGTTAGCTCGTTTTTAGCGCTTCGGCAACAATGGCGAAGGTACAGGTGCTGAATGTGGCTGTCCTAGATAACCCGAGTCCCTTTGGAAACCCTTTTCAGTTTGAAATAACGTTTGAGTGTATGGAGGACCTTCCCGAAGGCAAGTACCGTCAAAGAAAAGCTGTCATTATTGTGTGTCTGAGGCCAAAGCTTGAGCCTGTTGGTAGTTCTGTCCGTGTACTAGAGATTGCTAACTGAAACGGCTAACGCTAGGTTAGCCACATTTGCTAACTTGTGCCCACAGAGCTTGGTGTGTGTGTAACGTCATTGTCCGTGGTGGACGCATCACTAGGTCAGATCAGTGTAACTAATAGATAAATATGTTAATACATACATGTCAAATGTATGTAACAGTTGATAACGCAGCTAAAAGTGCATACATCTCTTATTGTGAAAGTGTTTTTCAAAGGTTGCACTGCAACTTCAACCATCACTCATTTTACGTTATAAACATTAGTGAGTTGAATATGGGCACAGTAGAGTTCAGTGTGTCAACTTTAATCTAGGTTTACAGCACATAGTGCAAAAAATGGATTTAGTGTTGCAAAGTACTATAATTATATTGTTATAGCCATGCAATCAACCGTGCTGTGTCCTCTATTGTTCCTAGTAGCATGTGAAATGGTATTCACACACTACATGTATTGGCTATTGTTTGTACACAACACTGTTGCACAGGCAATAGATTAACTTGAACATTTTTAACCAGTAAATGTGACTATATTTGGACACATGTTGTAGGTCAAGCTCTTGCTATGAGTGACAAATGTGATCAATCAGTTATCATTTTTTCTGTTCATCACCTAATTGGTTAATGGACTTCATGTCTCAGCACTACATTCACTCCACACCACCATAACTTTGCATTTGAAAGTGAAACACAACTTTATTTTCTTTGTTTTGTTTGTCATCTTTCATAGACCTGGAATGGAAGATCATCTATGTTGGCTCAGCGGAGAGTGAAGAGTACGACCAAATCCTCGACTCTGTCCTAGTCGGCCCGGTACCTGCTGGAAGACATATGTTTGTGTTTCAGGTGTGTTTGGTTGGGGCAAACAAACTTAAACATCACCTTGTGTTGCTTAAGCCATATAGCATACCCAGGGATGGTAATTTCATAACGACTTGTTATATTGTGTTACATCTTTCTCTTTCCTTTAAAATTTTTGAGAATTTTTCTCTACTGCATAACTTTCTAATTGTTTACACAGTGGGTAGTTGTTTTTACTGCCACAAAGCTGGATGAGATGCTGTACAATCAGGCTGATGTATCGGTCTATAGTAGCTCACTGTGGATACATTGGCATACATTCTATAGTTTATCCACCATGGCATAGTGACAGGTTTATTTGTCATGTGTATAATGGCCTACCCAGTACATGTTGGCCTCATAAAAGCCTATTTCAGTTTAGCAAAAACACTTACAATTTTATCTGCTCATAGCATACTAACACAGGCCGGCTCCAGCAGCCTCTTGTTGTACTTTGTCAGCAGGATCATGTCAAGTCTGTCTTAAGTCTCAATTCTTAGAAACCTTTGTGGTGCAGGATCAGTCAGAAAGCCCATTTGGGCATTTAAATTATCCATGTTATAATCCACTTAGACAAGTGGTCAGAATAGATTGTGACTGATTATTTACAAGCCCGTCTTTCACACTGACAGATTTTGATTATCGTATCACAACCCTGGTGCCATAATCCCCATCTCGCAAGTAGACAGTTTAAATTCTGAAATAAATGTATGGGAAAAGTTATTTTATAGTTTTGCATTTTTTATTGTTGTGTTTCTTTTTATCAGGCTGATGCTCCAAACACTGGATTGATTCCTGAAAGTGATGCTGTTGGTGTGACTGTGGTGCTGATCACCTGCACATACCGTGGCCAGGAGTTCATTCGCATTGGTTACTATGTGAACAACGAATACACAGAGCCGGAGCTTCGTGAAAATCCACCAATTAAGCCAGACTACACACAGGTTGGTTGATCTCTGGATAATCTGTTGCCACTGTGACTGCCTCATGCTTATTTCACTGGTTTAAAATAATCATTTGGATAATAATATTTCATGAGATTGAATGTACCGTGTTGTGTCAGGTTAAAAAACAGTTTTGAAGGAATTTTACAATGAAAAGTCAACCCCAAAGTGTACTATACAAATATTAGGCGAAAGACCCGATACACAACACAACCCTAGAAGCCCAAGAGCATTTTTTTCTATTAATCATACAAAATTAGCAAGATTGAGGGTAATCAAGCAGCATGGTACACTAATACCTTGCAGAATTGAAGCTTTTCTTTCTGTTGAGCCTGCACTTTGGAACAGATTGTTTGGTCCTCCAAAAATGACCAGTAATCCTATCAAATTCCCTCAGTTATATAACTAGTTAAGCAGAAATGTTACCTCTCTATAAGCAATGTTCTTAATTCAGATAGTGACTTCTTTCGTAAGCCACTGTGACAAAGGATTTTCTTTATAACTTTTAACTCACATGTACAAAAGAAAATACTGAGTGATTACAGGTGCAACGCTGTACTTTAATGTAGGCTATTATATAGCTGATATGTTACTGTTGGTGGCACGGTGGTGTGGTGGTTAGCACTGTTGCCTCACAGCAAGAGGGTTCCTAGTTCGATCCTGGGTGGGGGAGCCCTTCTGTGCGGAATTTGCATGTTATCCCCGTGTCAGTGCGAGTACTCCAGCTTCCTCCCACAGTCCAAAGACATGCAGGTTAATTGGTGACTCTAAATTGTCCGTAGGTGTGTGTGTGAATGGTTGTCTGTCTCTATGTGTCAGCCCTGCGATAGTCTGGCGACCTGTCCAGGGTGTACCCCGCCTCTCGCCCAATGTCAGCTGGGATAGGCTCCAGCCCCCCCGCAACCCTCAAGAGGATAAGCGGTTAGAAAATGGATGGATGGATGGATGGATGGATGGATGGATGGATGTTATTGTTGGATGAATACCTTTTGGCACCTTTGTACCATTCTTATCTGTAGGGTTCAGATGTTCCTGCTAGGGTTGGGCGATAATACAGTAATAAGGTATCCCGCAGTATCTAAAAATAGCAACGGTATCAGTTTCATTACCGTCATTAAAAAAAATCTGCCGCCCATATAGGCCTACAGGAGCCAGATAAAATATTAAATATAATTTATTTAATGCCTAAATAATGAGGGCTTGTCCAGCACCCATGTATGTGTGGTTGAGTTTTCAATTTAATACTATTACGATTTAAAACTAATAGTAGGTTATAATGTTTCTCTTATAACTGCCCTTAACTGCTGTCGGGACATTTGATAAAGTTTTTGGATGTGACGTCGTCATGTGACAGCTCGGATGTGAGAAAGAGAAGTAAAGATGGCAAGCCACACGTCAAGCAAGTTGGTTGCAAAAAACAACTTCACAACTTCTGCAAGCAGCAGTAGCAGCAGCAGCAGCAGCAGCAGCAGCAGGTCCAGTGGCCATCAGAGTGGAGGAGGGAGAAGCGCAACATGAACCACCGAAAAACAGATGACTATGTGCCGTCTCCTTCAAAGAAGAGCTGATGCAGTGGCAGGTCCGGTCGACACCATACAGGAGCGAGCAGAAGCAAGACGTAATTGCCTGTTGTCGCAAGCCTGTTATTCAGGGAGACGGAGACCTCCTTCTCAGGTGGAAATGTGATTGAGCCAGGTGTTTACCTCTGATGTTGAGGGCTGCCCGAAAGTACCTGTGCGTTTGTGCCACAAGCTCTCCCTCAGAGCGCATATTTAGCACCGCAGCCAAAGTTGTCAATCCACTACATGCCCTGCTCCAGCTGGAAAAAGTTAACATGCTGGTTTTTCTGGCGAAAAACCTTGAATAGTTTTGAAGCATAGGATGCTGCTATAGTTGTCATTATACTTTGTTTTTATTTCATTTTCAATGAGGAGTAGCCTGTTCTGACGGTCAAAACAGTTCGGACTTGGAGAGGGTGAACTTTTCAAACTAAAGGTAGGCTCTAAAAATAAACCAACTAACAGCATTTCCCGTTGCTTCTCAGGATAGGATTATAAATGCCCATTTTCAGTCATACCTTGTTATTTAATGTTCTGTTTTTCTTATTTGATGAGCCCTAGTACTGGATGCCGTAGAGCTGTGCTTTAAATTTATTTATGTTGATAGGTTCTTAAAATAAACCAGCGGACTTTACCCATTGCGGTCTGAGAATACGCTGTATAACACACATTATCTTTACTGCCGTTTTTATTTATTGTTACTTTATTGGAAGTGGACTGTAGCCCACAGACAATTTGTTGTTATGTCATTCTGTTTGGCTGACTGCTGCATTTGCACTTTTTTAAATATTTATTAATAAAAGTTGTTAATGTTGTACATGTTTGTTGTTATTTTTCAGTATTCTTAGGCCTATGTAATGTTTGCTATTGTGTTTCTGAACAGTATAGGCACAAGCCAACATTTTGGCAACTCCCTCTGAGCCCTTCAAAGTGATTTTAATTAGTCACGGTAATACCGTATACCCCAGGAAAATGTGGCGAAGGTTTAGCGGTAACAAAATTTGGATACCGCCCAACTCTAGTTCCTGCCCCGAGTCAAGATGCCAAAGAAATTGAGATGCATTGCTAACTAGATAGTAGCACAATGCACATTAGAAAAAATGATCTGCAACTAAAGGAATATTAATCACTCTTCTGTTGAAATGTGGTCAGGGTGTCTCCATTTAGGTTGTAAAATGTGAATGCAGACTTGTAATTTCTGTACTGTTGCTGGTGACCAAGTTCAGATATGGTTAAATTGTCTAAAATCTCTTATTAATTACACTTAAATCCTTTTCTCAACAAAATTAGGGTATGAAGGCAGGTTTTCTAAATGTGGGAAAACCTGTTAAAATAGGCGATAGAGGGCTTTTCCATTGCCAGTAGACCAGAACTGCGTTCAGGGCTCTTCCTCTTCTTCTCTGTCGTCTTCTTCTTCTGTGTATTTCTTCTCTTTTTTCGCTGTTGTGTCATGTTTGATGTCACAGACAGGCTGGAAAACAGGTTAATAAACAGTAGAAGGCAATGAAAATCTTAACGTGGTTACTTCTATTTCCCGTCTCTTACTTATTCAGTCTCTAAATTATATATTTTTAAATTTGTTCGAGCACTGCTTGGGTGGAGATGGATGGTATTTTCTGCCAGCCTGTCACTGCATCACACCGGGAAAGGAGCTAAAATTTGCGCTTTCACCCAGCTGTGGTATTTGACTCCTGCAGAGTCATTTGTATCGGAAACAAATGCTGATTGTAACCCTTCCCATTAGAATAGTTTTTGTGGGTTTTTGTCTTTAAAAAAAACACATTAAAATTTAGAAGTAATAGAAATATCTGTACTAAGTTTTCATGTATGTGTCCATTCTTCTTTTCAGCTCCAGAGAAATATTCTGGCATCAAACCCACGTGTTACCAGATTCCATATAAACTGGGAAGGCTGTGCAGAGCGAATGGAAGACTCTGAAAATGTGGACCCCACGTCAAACTCCATGCTCCCGCCATCCTGTCTCCCGGGCAAAGCCCCACCTTTAGGGATACTACCAGATAACTCTATGGACTGCTTATAGAGATGACCTCTGCCCCAGAGGTGACTACTCACAGCTTGAGACCTTATTTTTGAAGAATGCCTGTGGACATTCTAGCGTGGATGTACAGACATCTTTGCCTTACAGCTGCCCTTATTTACCTGAAGCTTGTCAAATACGAGCTCTCATCTCGGGCTTCAGACGAGTGTTTGTTCCAAGGAAGATTATGAACATCTTACTTGTATAATCATCACTTATAGACGGGGAGTTCCTTGCCATGAAGTTAAAAGCAATATCGAAGTAGTTTCACTCATGGAAGGGAAAAGGTAACTATGACATGATACAGCTGAACTGACACAGCACAGGAAGCTGATGTGTGACTCACCTCTCTTTATTTCTTTGGTGCAGAACTAATTTGTACCCATTTAAGAGGATTTCAGCACTGAAGCAATAGGTTAATAAAATGTTACATGTTGCTGTACAGGAATTTGATAATCTGCCATTATATTTGTGTTCAAATTTCTTTTGCACTTAAACCTTTTTCCCACTTAGTTTGCGGAGTTTTGAATGGGCTACATAACTTCCTCTTGGTATTTTTTTTTTTTCGTTTGTTTTTTTTGTTTGCAACTTTGTGTTCCAAATAAAATAACATTGTATTTGTTATTTATCTGTGTATGGATGTCTGTGTGATAGTGAGTGCTGTGTTCCTCCTAATTACTTGTCTTATTTTGTCTTCACAAAAGCAGGAAAACAATGTGAACCATTTTTTAAAAATGCATCTGCACTAATAATTGTTAAGAATGTACCAAACAACTACTTTAATTTATTCGTGATAAGGTCAAACACAACAGTGCCCAAACTGTAACACAAATATCTGTGTGAGTATCCCCTTATATTTTCACATTTTACTAAAAATAGCCCGTGTTAACGTCACGCCCAATCACAGAGCAGTCGGGTAAAAGGGGTGGCTAGGCTAGAGAACTGGCTTTGGAAAATACTGCTATGCAATTATGATTATGATTACAGATTGCATCGGCGTTTGATTTGTGTTCTGTACGAAACTCAGTTCAATAAATACAAACAGCTGATAATTTAAAGCCAAAAGGAAAAAAACACACTTACAGTTATGGGCGTATTGGCTACTAGCAAGCCCGGGAGGCGGGACAAAGCCATTTGACAGACGAATCGCATCAATGCAATGATTGGATGTATTGATGCTTATCCAATCAGCGCCCGAGATGGAACTTCTGTCGCGCAAGTATCTGTGTGTGTAGCCAATCAGCCAGCTAGAGGCGGGACCCGGTGGATGGATGACTGGAGTTTCCCTTGCGGTCTGAAGATTAATGGAAGGGGTCTGTTGATCTTAGGAATCGACTATCAGATGGTCGGTCCCAGGAAACCGTTGCACTTTAAGCCTGGTTTAGGAACGAATGGAGTGAGATTAATTTGAAACCACCGACGACGGGAAAAACGAAGAACCTGGACACCACTTTTGTTATCCAGGTCTCAACTGAAACGGCCTGCCTACACAGAGATAGCACCTGGTTAGTTCAGGCCAGGATACGACTGCGAGAGACGCTAAAGGCTAACGCTAGCTTGCTCGCTAGATAGACGGAAAACAGCTTTCGACGATCTGTCAAATGGTCGGGACTGGATTGTGGATAAACCAAGCCATCTCTGGAAATAAACGACAGTCGAGTGACATCTTGATTTGCCAGTGCTTGCTTGGAAATTGACGAGCTAACACTGCAAAGCTAACATCTACAGACCATCTCTGCAAGCTAGCGTGTTAGCCTAGCTAACCCCACAGCGTTAGTGTTAGCTACAGACTTGGATATACTTGCTTGGTTGGACTTTTCCGAACTCACTCAAGAGAAGTATTGGGGTAATACATTTACACGCGGTAGTCAATAATGATAGCTGTTAGCTAGTAGCTAGCTGTCAGCGTCATTGAGCCCAGCGACTGCGTTAGCGGTGTAGCATCCCTCAGCGACTTGTAAAGGAAACTCAGTTCGAGCCCAGGGACTCCACCACCAGCCTGCCATCATGGGCAACACGCCCACCGCAAAGAAGGGCAATGAGATGGAGAGCGGTGAGTACCTTTTACCCATAGCTGCAGCGGCTAGCTTATCATGCCGTCTGTCGTTGAATCAGTCTGCTGTGTTGTCATGTTTCCCACAATGGCACTAAAAACTAACCACCTATGTAATGCATCAAGGCCCAGAGACCCTCCACAGTGACACCATGTTACATTGCTTTCGACAGCCTATTCTAATATGGAGAAGTGAATGAGCAGATTATGCAAAACTTTCCTGAGTTGTGAACTTTACATCAAACACCATGAAAGACACCCATCGCCAATCACATCCTCACACAAGCTGTTACCATGTTCATCTCAACAGAACAGCAGAGGATGTTATTCATTCTCTCCACTGATTCTGTGGGAAAGCTCGTGATTAAAAGCCCCAGGTTATAATCCGAGGAACCAGTGAGGGTGACAACAAGTAGCCTTATACAACAGTCATAGGTTTCTTTGTGGTTCACGTGCTTTCAGACAGTTTTATTCCCTCCTCATAAGATTATGAAAGGCTCCACTAGCAAGCCTAAACTCTGGTGTGGAGTTTTCTTGTGCACTTTTTAATAACCTAATTAAATGTATTCAGAATATTCCTAGAAAAAGGAAATTGTAAGGAATGCAAACACTTGAAGCAGGAGTGTAGATAGACATATTTGTGTGTATATGTGATTGATGCAGTGTGGACCTGAGCATTGAGCCCCACAGACTGTGTTTGACAGTGAGTAGAGGGGAGTTGGTTGTTATCAGAGAGGGAAGAAGCCACCAGGACAGGGGTCATATGATGCATGAGGGTGATCCTCTCCAGGCAGAAACTTGGGAGTTGAGGAGTCTCTTGAACATCATGTGATGAGCAGCATTTAGAACAAGGGCACTTGTATGTGTCACTGAGGCACATGTTTGTGTGCAAAGCAGTAAGGAAGCGATGCTCCCCTCTTGCTCCCTACGACTTTTAATTTTGTTGATGAGCTTCTTGGACATCACAGTGACAGTTACCTACAGTCTGAACCTGTGGTTAACTAATATATGAGGGGAAAATGTCATCCTGTTTATTAAGAAAACACTTGTTGCCTCAGTCCAAGTGTTTAGGCTTCATTTTCCATGTCAGGATCACTAGTAGTGCAGAAGGCTTGGGAGGACACTGTTTTATGTTTTTATCCATGACACTATAAATAACGCTCAAGTGTGCAAAGTCTGAACAGGTATCTGCAAAATGAGTATCAGCTCCTTGTTGCTGGTAGAGAGTATGTGTGAAGAATGGCCTCTAGTCCCTTTGTAACATTAACCCATCGACTCCTGCAACACAGCCCGTGACTTTCAGGTGTTATAGTTATAGTATGAGTAGTGTAGTATTAGTGTTATAGTTTGTTTTTAAAGCTCAAGAAGTAATGTAAATGAAACAGGGACAGAGAAGGCACTGCTAGCGAGAGGCTTGTTCATGTCATGCTTCACATCCTTATCAACCTAATTGCTGAGGGTCCACCCTGCTCCGGAGAGTTGGGTGAAAACCAGAGGTCTGGAGCCCACACCCAGGAGTGCAACTTTCCACAGAGCAGCTATAGATTAAGGGGAACATGGCAGCCTGTTTTGGTCTGTACAGAAAATGGAAAGAGGGTGTTGAGCACTTGTTCCGGTGCACAGGGTCTCTTTCCCCTGAAGTTTCCAGGCTGGAGAAGACAAGCGCAGAGCCGCTGCACTGGTACACAAAGCTGATTCCTGGCCCACAGGAGGAAGCAGGGCGGATAGACACTGTGAACCGCAGCAGGAAGTGAAGGAGCAAGGAAGGTCCAGCCCAGGTTTTTTGCAGTTGGTCATCGCCTCTACTGCTCTTTAAACTAAACAGTTAGCCATGAAGATAGCATGAAGTTTTTGCCCTTAAGACGCTGTTGGTGTAACATATTCTGGATTTCCTGCTTGTGAAACCCTCCGGACATACTGCAGTTTTTTGAGACTCTGCACTGAATATCAGCTGGCTTCCCCCTGCCTTGTATGATGTCTGTTATTCACAGGCTGGCGGGAAGGCTGTTTCACCGAGCTGGGCCCTGCCTGGTGGACACGGGCAGTGGAGAAGGCAGACATTACCAACCACAGGAGGAGCTAGAGGCTCGCTGCTGGTGTGAGTTTTCATTCTGGAGCTGGACAGGAGCATGGGTTAGGGATGGAGCTGTCGTCCATGCTATGTCCCTAGCTTAGCCAGTCAGAGGCTGTGCTCATCCTGCGCGTTTAACACAGATAATCAAGCTGTTGTTTTCTGAATGATGATTGTTACTAGATTCATATCATGACCTGGTGAGTTGTGTGTCTGTCGGCATTGGCGGAGTGATCCTGTGTACAAATAGACACACAGAGCAGCCTGTTGTTTGTCTCCGCTCTGTTGCCTTTTGTTTTCTAGTTACAGTTCAAAGGAAGGCATTTCTCAGTGACTGTCAGGCGCCAAGCTGCTCAGCATAACACTATCAGCCTTAAACTGTTGAGCTGTACATTAGGAAACCTTTCCAAAGCCATGTACTTTATTTGTTTTGTTAAAAAGCTCTCGTATCATTGTCTTTCACCGGTTGGGCTCCTGTGAGTCTGCCTGACTGAATGAGTGTTTGATAACTTGGAAATATTATCCCATACTTCACACACTTCTTGAAACATCCGAGCACCACACTTCCAGCCAGTTATGACATAAGGGATTGGAGTATTGAATCTTTTGTGTTTTGAATTGAACCTCATATAATGAGGTGGCACCCTGTCAAAGTGCAACTCCCTCTATCTATAAATAACTGTGTGGTTCATGTCCTGCCCCTGCTCCGCACGCAGCCGGTTTGTGTAACAGGGGAAGGTTTGTGTTTGGATCGCTCATCACTTCCTGTCTCCAGTTAAAGGGGCTTTGTTTATAAGCCCGCACTGATTACCAGTGGACCTTACTATTGAAATGCCAATCAGCCACCTCAGATAAGCTTACAGCACTGAACTGGCAAGTTGGAAAGCTGACATGCTGCCAGGGAACGATTCCTGAGACGCAAAGTCCAGCAGCAGGCAAAGCAAAACTGTGGCTGGAGTTCAGTGTTCAGAAAGGGAACAGGATTCTCACAGTGGTAATCCTTCTGTCTATTGGTCTTGTAAAGCTGCTGTCACATTTACAGGCTTTCATGGAGCTTTATCTGGAAAGACCTTGGTAGTTTGATATGATTGAAACTAAAATGCTGTAGTTGTCAACTAAAGCTGAGGAGGTAACTGTGAAGGAAGTGAAACCTGTGATCAGAATAGTCACTCTCATGACTCTTACTCACATTGGGTTCACCTCAACAGTGAATAAGGTAGTGAAATGAAATACTCCCAATTTTTCTGGGAACCCCCTCGAACTCCCTCAAGGACTCCTGGGGGAACATTCAGCCGCTACACAGCAGCAGTCAACTGGTTTAACAGTACCACATCCATCAGCCATTAGTGACAGAGAGGACAAAATATGAAAATGGCCTAAAATCACACATGAGGGCGTTTTTAATCAATTACTGGGTGCTAACTTTTCAGTGTTGTATACAGAATCCTGATTTCTCTGCCATAGAAATCCTAGTTTCAAGAAGAAGTGTTACACGCTGCTGTTACTGCCCCCTACAGCTAACTGCAGGTCACCTGTTAGCCTGTTGCTAAACATTAACAGCAAGTACCTCACCAGCATCAGCTAAGCCTGCTTTAACATTAGTTATAGCAACTGGCTATAGATCACCATCATCATTATCAGTGTTCAATGTTAACATTTTATGCCAGCAGTGAGAGTGATTAAAAAACACATGCTTTCAGAAAGTTATGCCAACCAGCAGCTCCAAAAACATCTGTGTAAATTTCCAAATAGGTGTCATTTTGTCAGTGATCACATGTTGGGAATCTAAATAGTTATTTTCTTGCCTAAAACACTATTTAAATTAAATAACATTTTCAAGCTTAGTAAGAGCTCTCTGTCAAGTAAAAGATGATAAAGCTGGCGACACTCAAAGACATATGGTGATACTAGGCAAGGTAATTGCACGTCCGCTCTAAAGCAGAATTAAGAGCACAAAATCCCGCAGTGTGGAAGTGCCTTAGTCCGGGCAAAAATATGGGGAATAAAATACAAAGCTAGACTCTCAGGACGCATTCACACAGGCGCTATTTGGTCCGCTTTAAATGAATCCTGGTCCACTTCCATGGATAGTTCAGTGCGGACCAAACGAGCGAAAACTGGGAGGCTTGTGGGGTTCACTTAGAGTGGGAAATGCAAACAGACTATCCAGCGAACCAAAGAGAGGAAGTCACGTAGAGTGCAGTGCATTTTGGTGATCAAGCTGGCTGAAGGGGATGGATTTCCGTTTTCGGTCCTGGCCAATCAATGAGCCGAGTTTTCTTCTTCCTCGTGCTTTTTTTCTTCTTGGTCAGTGGTTGTTTCGGGCAATAGCGCCCCCACACGAGCAGCTGTTGCAACTGAGTGATGGACCAGACGGTTTGGTCCGCTTTAAAAAGTGCAGTCTGGAAGTAAACCCAACCAAATGAATGTGTGAAATTTTTTGGCATTCCCCACCCAATCAAACTGAGCCCCCCATACTATCCTGGTGTGAATGTGCCCTCAGTGTCTGATTTTTCTGCAAAGGTGTCATGGTGATATTGAGCATCTCTGGGGCTTAATACATGTAACCAATGGGACAGATGAATACATGCACATTACCTGTCCTCTATGTGCATTTGAATGGAGTCAACATGCAAGTGTGATGTGACAGTCAGTGCAGTTTGTCAGCTCCTCTGCTCCTGAATTGATCAGTAATTTAACAAGCCAGTTCAATTCGGACAGTAGGATGTAACCTAACGTCCCATTGGTGGTAGTGTGAGTAGCTGCTAGCTCACCAGTCGCAGTAAAATATCCACCAGCAGTATTGAACTGATGACTTCAATTGATTTCTCACCATTACACACTTCCTAGTTTACCCTCTGACTGATTTCTGATGCACTACAGGGGGGATGTATGTTATCTGAATAAGGCCTGGTGCAGCCTGGGACCA